TTTAAAAACCCCTAGGGTCTGGGCCGACCTCACATGGAGGGGCAGAATGTTTAACTACTGACAAATGTAATGGTTACACCTGCATTTATTGTTGTTATATGGTATGGTTGTATGAGACGAGTATAATATACAAACCTATTGAAATTATTATTGTATCTTACGGTACTGTATTAACTGTGAGGGAATGCTGTTGGCCTGAAAGTGTTCTCCTTGTTTTGAAACAATTGAAAATGACCAGCAGGTTTTGAAAGGGAAAATGTGGCACAAGAACAACAAAGTGCTTTGTGGTCTGGTTTCCATGCTGATTACAAGTGCAGCTTTCAAGGAAACCTGACGGGTCGGTGCCATTTCCAACACCATGTAATGAGGATTTCCTTCGCAGACATGAACACATTTCCAACATAGGAAAAGGAAACTGTGGGCTAAATTACAACACCTCATTGTACTGTCAAGAATCAGAGAACTACGACACAATCAGAGTGCATTAACAATTATTGCTACGTTATAATCCTTGAGATTTTCATGAAACCTATTGTTTTATTCCTGAAAATGTCATTTATTCACACTCAGTAATCAGCTTTCTAGTCGTCAACATTAGTGATGGACTTAAATGGATTTAAGTTGCCTTCAAATGCAAGAAAGATTCACAAGAAACAACAAAATCCAGAATAATATCAGACTCACTTTTAACTGTTTACTCTCCCTGCATCTTGTACGAACTGTATTAAGTTACTGCTGCTGCATCGCATTACAATTGCTGATGAAAAGGGGATGGTTTTTGTTACATTTTTGATGTTAACCAGAAACTTTATTAATGATATTAATGTGTACACCACAGTAACAACAGGTGTTGCTAAATCAACCAGTCTGCAAAAAGAACTACATGTTTTTAAAGCTCGGTTGGATGCTAACCAATCAGATGCTGTTGGTACCTGTACATGTGGATAGATATGTAAATTGTAATCCCTGACATTTTTGCTGTATGATGTCCTTTTGTTGTTCTGTTGTTTATGTTTTTATGTCTTCATGTGGAACCTACTGCTGCAGGTCTCCCTTGAAAAAGAGATCAATGATCTCAATTGGATTTCACCTGGATAAATAAAGGTTTTGAATTGAATTGAATTGTAAGGATTATCTCAAATTGAACTAGTTAATAAAGTATATTTCAAATATATTTGAATGTTTATCTTAGCCGAGAGAAACGGAGTTAACACACATTTACATTCAAAGTAGAACAGAAATAGCCTTGGAGGGACCAATTAGGGATTAAATGCTTGTTCAATTTCTTCAGTGTCCGTGTTAACTGAACGAAGAGCTTCAGCAAATTAAAAGTATCCAGTGTTACAT